ATTGATATTCTAATGAGATTTCAAAAGTAAAGATCTAACACACATAAAATAGCAAGAAACCAAGTCATAGCACAAAACTACCTTTAGACTTAATCTATGGCTGCATAGAGGTGGGACAGGACATCGTTTAGGACATTTTGGAGGCTTCTGATCCATCTCAGTGCCACAAGGAACCTAATTTCGTTCGCAACACAAATAAAAGATTCAGAATACAAATATCAGAACACGCACATATATCTACTACAGATCTCAAAAAAATACTTCTATTTGTGTTGTTCTGTAAAGCCTAACAATATGAAAGTAAATTATCATCATATAGTAAATGAAAATCAACCACACAGACACAATAGGACCCGTACTACTTACCAAATTCTAGCGCTTAAGCCTTACGCCCTTTAACCACAAGAAACCAGACCACCATTATGTTTAAAGTCCAATTGATAAGTACACAATCTTTAGCCACAAATTACAGAAATGCAACGTATTCACGTTATTGATTGGAGAGAATTTTGAAAATTTGAAAATTATGCACAAACTTAGATTTCATTTCTTCAGCTCCAAGTTTAACATAATTCACCCAAGCAGATAACAATATGGTATAAAATGAAATAGGATGTCTCAACTATGAAAATTAAAGAGCCAATGTTTCACCTCAAAGTGTGTCTCGCCACATGCACACGATATCGTTACCATCACTGGACAAGGAGCACAAGGACCTCTGCCATACCAAATTGATTGTTTGCATTAATTCATTAATATCATTCAAATACAGCTCAATCTAATTAATGTACAGCAGAAGAATCATTAAAAATAGCCATGATCAATCTAATTAATATAATGACATACCTATGACATGGGGACGGACATTTGTGGTTTTTACATCGCAACCTCCTGCCGCAAATCTAAAATTTTGAAAAGTTAATAATCCTCCGGAGACATACAGAACTGAATGTAACAACTTAAGAGAGCAATAGAAACCTCTGAGCAGGGCGGGCAGTCACCGTCGCAGCAGCGGCGTCTACAAGCATGGCGTCCACAGTCTCGCATTCTCTGGCACTTCCTCTCACATGCCAAATCTTGATAACAAGGAATCTACTCTAGACTCAGTTACATTTTACCATCTCTAAACTCATTGATAATTGAACTTCTTTTTCTATTTCATTCATTTCCAAAGCATTAAAAATAAACAGAGAGTATTGAAAAGAAAAAGTACCTCTTTCCTCAAGCTTCCACACCTGCAGGACTTGAAGACAACAGTTCTGCAAGTTCCAATACATGGGCCGCGGTGACATCGCTCTGGACACCTATGATAGCCACAAGGAAGCATCTTTTCACATGTAGCCCCACAAAGTGATACAGCAACATCACAAGGTATCCCTTCATACGCCTTTTTCCCACAGGGGCACGTTCGTTTCCCCTTAAACGGACACTGGCCACACTCTCCAGAATGACACCCTTCATTGCACGAATGTTTCCCACATCCCAACAGTTTATTACACTCGATCTCACACCGAAAACTCCGATCCCAGCATTCCCTTTTCTCCACAGTCTTCCCACATTGACATTTAAATACACCTTGAATACGACACGGCGGACAAGAACCCTCATGGCAAATCTCCGCGCACTTATGCCTACCGCAATCCAACACTTTGGAGCAGACATTGTTACACGAAAAATTCTTAAACCCACATCGTCGAGCGTCCCGAACGGACCCACAATAGCAACTAGCCTGCACTATCTTTGGACATGAGGGGCAAGGACCGGGGTGGCACAAGAGCAAGCAATGATGACCACAGTTGTGTTTCAATGGCCTGCCGCATACCTCACCACATGAATGGGGTAAAATCCAAGGATCATCGCTTGGTGGGTTTTCCAATTTCCCACAGAAACATAAGTACTTCTTAGGAATTGAAGATTTGGAATACTCAACTCTACATTTGGGGCAGTTCCACGCAGAGTGCTCATCAGGCTTATCGGGGGAGACAAGAGAGCGTGTGGCAGCTCGCGCAGCGGCCAAATCCGAAGCTTGGCGAGCCCAACTCTGAATACAGAAGAGATGGAAAACGTCAAAACAGAGAGAATAACAGGACCAGGTGGGGTCCATGAGGCGGATGCGTTCGAGGCATATCAAACAAGACAATGCGCCGGAGGAGGAGGAGGTGAGGAAGGATTGGATCTTAGATAAGTCAGCGGTAGTGGTAGATCGGCCGGTGAATTCGAAATAGGCTTTGAAAACGGAATCAGAGAGATCAAGATGACGGAGGGATTGAGATCCGGTGTTGTCATCGTCGGAATTAGAATCGGAGTCAGAGATGGTCCGTCGATGGTCGTGGGTTGAGATCATGGTTGAAGTGCGGAGGAAGAGGGCACAATGAACTGTGGACTCTTTTTTATTAATTTTGTGAATACTTATGGGCCTGCTCTCTCTTTCTAATCTCAATCCCATTTTTACAAATTCTTTTGGAAGATATTCCTCTCTTCCAATTAACATCCTCAATAAATGGTATTTATTATGTGATTTTTTTTTTTTTTTCCATACTCCCCCTGAAAGAATGATTAATCTTACTCGGATACCCTTTGTAATAGTTCAATCCCATGTTGTCATTTTTTTAGCCTTCCATCGAAAGTTTTTAAAACGCGTGTGCAAGAGAGAGGTTTCCACGTTCTTATAAAAAAATGTTTCGTTCTCCTTTTCAACCCATACGAGATCTCACAATCTACTGTTGGCACATTGTCCGGGTGTCACATTTTATATTTTATGCAATATATCACAAATTATATTCCAAATTAAGCCAACATTCAATAGAAAAATAAATAGTTAATATTTTATTTTTTAACCGTCAAACACAACTATGTATTTAAATTCAAAATAATGGTCGCAATCAATTACGATTTTAAAATAAATTTGTAGATGGGGTTTTTGTCGGCTTGGGAGTGACGTGTACTAAAAAAATTTCATCTAGAAGGTTTTGTTGAATCAGGAGGACATTTGAGTGTAGCCGTTAACATTTTTTTTTATGTGTATTTGATGACCGTTGAATTTTCCCCAATTCACCCCATTTCAAAGTCTTCTCTTCCTCTTCCCCATCCATCACTCAATTTCAAACTCTGCAAAATTCCATCTTCTGCGACATCGAAAACCCACATAGCAATCCCAAAATCGGAGATGGGTTTTCAAAAGGAAGAGAAATCACTGAGGATTTTGAGGGTTTTGAAGACCCTCTTCTTCTTAATCACCATGTTCATGTCTCTGCTTTTCTTCTCAGCTCCAATTCTTCTCGCCATTGCCGATGCGCTTCTTCCTTCTCTTCTTCTCTCCGCCCTCCTCTTCCCCGATTCTCTCTCCTTCAAATCTCTCTCTTCCCATCTCCAAACCTACGAGTTTGGTTCATCCCTTGTCGATATTCCGCTCATCTCCATTTCCAGATCCGCCATCATCATCTGTAAGCCATTTCTCTTGCAAACGCACAGAGACGAAATTCAAGTTGTGTTTATGGATATGGGTTTTGTTTTTGTAGGTGTTTACAGTTTGTGCGATGGCCCAAAGCTATCTCGAGGGCCATACTTAGCGGCGGCAATGGCTTGTTCTTCGACATCTCTGGTTTTTGTTTCGGTGAAAGCCTTGTTCATGTTTGGTGAGATGAGGATTGAGCGAGGAGGGGCCATGGAAATGGCTCTGTTTGGTTGCTCTCTGGTTTTGGCAGTTGGCCACATCGCTGTGGCCTATAGAACCAGCTGCCGACAAAGAAGGAAGCTTCGGGTTTTCCAAATCGACATTGAAGCTGTAAGAATTTCCATCTCTGGCTTCCAATTTCCTCTAATTTTCAGGTTAAATTTAAAGAACATTATTTTGGAACAGACTGATGTCCAATTAAATTTAAGATTTATTTAAAGTAAATAAACTAAATTTAAAAAATTGAAAGTCAGCTAAAACAAAATAATATTTTGATCTAATTTAGTTTTCTTAAAAAAAAAAAAGAGAGAATTAATTAAATTTAGAATGTCGGTTCTTCCTTATCTGTAGGTTACAGCCTGCCATAAAGGGTTCCCACAGTTGAAAAATACTATTTTGGAAGGAAAAGCTGTAGAGTAATTCATAGAAGGCATGTTACGTTGCAGACGACATGTCGGATTCGCAAGGAGCAGATAAATCGGATAAGTTAAGGACGTGTATATATGGAGTTTTCCAAAAAAAAAATAACCATAATATATATATATAAACAATGCATGATAATGGATTGGGTGGAATTTTTCTTTTGTTTTTTTCTTTTAAATTAACTTCAATTTTGAAAAGAAAAAAAAAATGCAATCAAAATCAAACCCGACTTTACTCTATTTTTACAAATATATATATATATTTAACGTCGGTAACGGTTGTAATTTATAAATGTTTGATATTTAAACATTATGATATTTTAATTATTAATATAACATGTATAATAAATAAATATGCTTTTTAAAATAATTAGATAACCAACCAAACTCCAACCATTCGGATTAATTTAAATTTTTCGAGTTAATACAAAAAAAATTTCAACATAACCCGCTCCACAAACGTGTGTACACTTTGAAATAATTCTCGTAAATTTTCTTTTTTTTTTACTATTTATTGTATTTTCTAGGTGGCACAATTTATTTTAGTAGGGGACTCCTTGAATAATTCTATGAAATAATTAAAAATAATTTTAGGCATTACGTCCACAAAGCTTCACTATTTATATTTATATTTGTCATTAATCTTCATTTATTTATTTCATAGGTATGAGTTGATAAGACTCTTTTGCATTCAACTTATCCGCTTAAAATAACTATAATATATAACAAATAGTAATAATAATAGGGAACTGATTAACTAAATATTTTATATGGTCCATCGATAATCAATGGAAATAAAAAAACAATAAAAAATGGCGGTGAAATTTCGTATAGTCTGAACCGTTACATGCAGCTGGCGTGCAATGGGAATAAAGTGGTATATACAACCAGGGACCCCGGGGACATATTTTCTGAGAGTTCCAAGGTTGTCCTACTTCCGTTGTCGGAAAATGCAATCTCTTACTCGCGACAGCTTTCTCCTCCCCTACGCCCACCGGCTCCGTCGTCCTGGTTCTGTCCACAGCAGTTCCACCCAGAGAGCTGGTTGCTTCTTTCGATGCCGTCGAGGTTCAGATTCTCAATTGTCGCTTTTCCGGTCAACCTTTGACAAGTGTTTCCCGCCCTTGAGGTCTTCTGCTCTCCCGGCCCCAAGTTCTAACGCTTTAGGTAACCAATCTTCGTTGTTTTTGTCTCCTTCTTCTTCATCTTGGCTTTGGTTTTTTTTGTTAAATTACAAATTTAGTAAATTAATTGGCAAAGTATGTATTTTATTCCCTAACATTTGAATTAATATTTTCAAATTTAAAATATTTTTTAAAGAGTAAAATTGAATTTGGTTTTTTTTTTTTTTAATTTAGGGAGGAATTTAAGTTATGAATTATAAAATGGTAATTTTTATGAATATTTGAATTATGATGTGTTAAGTTGGATTAATATGTTTGATTTTTATTTAGGTGTTGATGCAGCAGAGTTTATAGAAGCAACGAAACATGGAAATCTGGTGCCACTTTGTGTGTGCATTTTTGGAGATAAACTGGACCCAATTCTGGCATATCGGTGTCTGGTGAAGGAAAATGATTGGAATGCTCCGAGCTTCATTTTCGAGTCGGTGGAATCGAATTCTCAGGTTCATTTCTACTTTAATGGTGCTTTTGGATTAATTCCCTTTTGCATCTTAACTTCTATTTTCGTTCTATGAATTTTCGTACAATTTTCATCACAGGGTCGTTATAGTGTAGTGGGAGCTCAGCCAACTCTGGAAATAGTGGCGAAGGAGAATAAAATTACTGTTTTGGATCATAAGAAAGGGCGATTTACTGAAGAATTTGTTGATGATCCCCTCACTATTCCAATAAAGATCTCAGAGAAATGGAAACCTAAATCAATTGCTGGACTTCCAGACACGTTTTGTGGTAAAATTTGTCTCTTCCTTTGCATGAGGTTTTGTGATATCCCACGTTGGTTTGGAGAGGAGAACGAAGCATTCTTTATAAACCTCTCATTAGCAAACGTGTTTTAAAAATCTTGAGGAGAAACTCGAAAGGGAAAGCTGACACTGGACCCCAAAGGAGGGTGGATTGGGAGGTCCCACATCGATTGGAGAATGGAACGAGTGCCAACGATGGCCCCAAGGGGAGTGGATTGTGAGATCCCACGTTGGTGTTGGTTGGGAGGAGAACAAAACATTTTTTATAAGGGTGTGGAAACCTCTCCCTAGTAGACGAGTTTTAGGGAAAGCCCAGAGAGAAAAGCAGACATGTTTTAAAAATCTTGAGCGAATAGGTGGATGGGTAGGCTATTTCTCATACGACACAATGCGATATGTGGAGAACAAAAAGCTACCATTCTCAAGAGCTCCAAAGGATGACAGAAATCTTGCTGACTTTCATCTAGGCCTCTATGACGAGGTTGTCGTGTTTGATCATGTTGAAAAGGTGCTCATTTCCAGCATAACTCATGTTGTTGTGTTTGTCTGTTATTTATTTTAATGAAGTTGCTCTACTCTATAGCTACAGCTGATATGAAGTTTTGAACATCAGAAAGTGTATATAACTGTTTGGGTGGAGCTGGATGGATATTTGTCAGTGGAGAAAGCTTATGAAGATGGAGTAAAACGTTTGGACATTCTGGCAAAGAGATTTCAAGATGATGAACGGTGAGTATATGCTGTTCTTTCATGAGATGACTGTGTTGAAACATTTACATCAATTTTTTTGAATTTTGATTGTCAGTCCAAGGCTGAGCTCGGGTGTTGTCGGCTTGAATACTCGCCATTTTGGTCCATCCTTACAGAAATCAAACATGACTAGTGACTCTTACGAAGAGGCTGTGCTTCAGGCAAAAGAACATATTCTTGCAGGAGACATTTTCCAGATAGTTCTAAGCCAGCGTTTTGAGTATCGAACTTTTGCCAATCCTTTCGAGATTTATAGAGCGTTGAGAATCGTCAACCCGAGTCCGTATATGGCTTACTTGCAAGTAATGTTGTCTTAAACAGTCTACAAATTTTCAACTCAAACATGTTCGTACTAAGCTATACATTCTTCTCCAGGCTCGTGGTTGTACGTTGGTTGGTTCTAGTCCTGAAATTCTTACTCGTGTCAAAAAGGTAACAAATTGTTATGTTTTTTGTTCTTACTAAGCTGTTTAGTATGTAAAATTATAACCACAAAGCATGGTTTCAATAGAATAAGATTGTAAATCGCCCCTTGGCTGGAACTGTTCGAAGAGGGAGGACAGAAAAAGAAGATGAAATGTTGGAGAAGCAGTTATTGAATGATGCAAAACAGTGTGCAGAACACATTATGCTCGTTGATTTGGCTCGAAACGACGTTGGAAAGGTTTCATTTCACTTCTTTTGCCTCGCTTCTCGATTCATGTTTTGAAAACGAGGTGATATGAACCAAGGAAGAAGAAAAAAGTTGTGTTTTTGTTAGATCCCACATCGATTGGAGAAGGGAACAAAACATTTTTTATAAGGGTGTGGAAACTTCTCTTTAGTAGACGCATTTTAAAAACCTTAAGGGAAAGCTCAAAAAAGATAATATCTACTAGTGATGGACTTCATCATCGTGTATTTCATTACATTAACTTCGGTGATGGTTATGTAGGTTTCGAAAAATAGCTCGGTGAAGGTAGAAAAACTTATGAATATTGAGCGATATTCGCACGTAATGCACATAAGCTCAACGGTAAAAATGCAGTACCTTTCATGTAGATAAAAGAAAGGAACAACAAATTGTACATTAAAGTGATGCAGCTATGATTCCTTTGTGTAGGTAACAGGAGAGTTGCTTGACCATCTAAGTAGCTGGGATGCCCTGCAAGCTGCATTACCTGTTGGAACTGTTAGCGGAGCACCCAAGGTTTCTTGATTGTTCTTTGCCAAAGAACTGTTTCATTTCTAATAGTCAAACTTAGCGAGAATGAGTTCAAGCTATCGTTGTTTTGCAGGTAAAGGCCATGGAGTTGATCGATGAATTGGAGACAACAAGACGAGGTCCATATGGTGGTGGATTCGGTACCGTTGCTTTTAATGGTGATATGGACATGGCACTCGCTCTTAGAACGATCGTATTTCCGACGTCATCTCATTACGACACAATGTACTCGTACAAGGGTGTGAACCAGCGCCAGGAATGGGTTGCTCATCTTCAAGCTGGAGCTGGTATAGTGGCTGATAGTAGTCCTGATGATGAACACCAAGAATGCCAAAACAAAGCTGCTGCTCTTGCTCGTGCCATTGCCTTGGCAGAGTCTGCTTTTGTTAACAAGTAATCTTCCGCACCTGGCTCTCATCAAATTACTGAAAGAATTTCGTTCTATATGCAACAAAGCCATAAGCATAATTTATACTACCAATCTCAACCTCTGTACAACTATTCAAACAATTATAAGGAAGATAGTTCATAATATCTGTATTTCTTTCACTTCACCAAAACATATATAATTTTGTTAGTCTATTGAAGTCCACATCGGTTCGAGAGGGGAACAAAACATTTATTATAAGGATGTAGAAAACCTTGAGGGGAAACCCAAAGAGGACAATATCGGTTAATAGTGGACTTGGATTGTTACAAATAGTTTCAGAGCCAGACAACGGGCAGTGTGCCAGCGAGGACGTTGGGCCCCTAAGGGGGTGGATTGTGGGATCTCACATTGGTTGGAGAGGGAAACGAAGTATTTCTTATAACGGTGTGGAAACCTCTCCCTAGTAGACGCGTTTTAAAACCGTGAGGCTGACAACGATACGTAACGGACTAAAGTAGACAATATCTACTAGCGGTGACCTTGGTTTGTTACAACTGGTGTGATCAACTTCAGAACAAAATTGCAAAAGGGTTTTATGTTTCTGCATAACTTTCCATCTTCCTAGCAAAATACAATCTCAGAACATGGTTTTGCAGAAACTAGTGCAGTGAGGCTTGATAGCTTGCTCATCTGTGCCGAGGTCCTATGCTAAAAACCCCTAAAGTTTTCTCTTGCAAGGCATAGTTGAGCAACAGCATCACGGATATTCATTCTCTGAGTAGGCATTTGGGAAGAACATACAACTCCTATGTTGAAAATGGAAAACAAGCACTCTTTGGTTCTGAGACATTGATTAGCCTGAAACATAAGATCTTTGTTTTCTGTTCCCTCCAGTTCTTGAAGGCTCAATGTTGGCTCTGCTATTTGCTCTACCCGGTCGGGTGAAGCCTCAAGAACATGGTTGTTCTTAAGTTCTTGGAGGCCCATTGTTTGGTCTGCTATTTGTTCCACCCTTTCAGGCAAGGCTGTAAGAACATAGCTGTTCAAGGTTAAGCCATCATTGAATATATCATCAGTTGGCCTCTTTCCAGTGAACATCTCCAACAATAGGATGCCATAACTGTACACATCGCCATATGTCGAAACCTCGCTTCCCATGGCATACTCTACATTTGTTCAGGAACAGTTGAAGAAAGCGTCAATAAAACAGTTTTGAGCAAGGAACCATGAAAGCAAGAAGAACTAAAAGGATGAAAAGAAATCAAAGGCACCTGGAGGAGCATATCCAATAGTGCCTCGAAAACCAATGGATTCGGTTTCGGTTGATCTGTTCTGGGAGGAAGCTCCAGCCATAAACTTTGCCAATCCAAAATCTCCAACGTGAGCAGTCATGTTAGCATCCAAAAGAATATTACTAGGCTTTAAGTCACAGTGAGCTATTGGCATGGGGCTGCCATTATGCAGATAATCCAGAGCACTAGCCACATCAATGGCAATATCTAGCCTTTGCATGATATTCAAATACCTCTGCTCTCCTTCCTGGTCTAAAATATCAACTGGATGCAGCCAATTCTCTAGGCTCCTATTAACCATGAAATCAAAAACCAATGCCATAAAATCATTCCCTTGAAAATCGACTCCCGAGCAAGCAGATCGAATTTGGACAAGATTGCGATGTCTAATGTTTTTAAGTGCTTCACATTCTACCAGAAAACTCTTTGAAGCTCCCCTATGTTGAAGGTTGAACACTTTAACAGCAACAACGCTTCCATCTTGACTGAGAATTCCTTTATAGACAGACCCATAACCACCAACTCCAATTAGATTGTTGGGAGAAAATTCATCAGTGGCCTTAAGAAGATCATTATAAGATATAACAAAATAAGAAACTCTCAGTGATGGACTTAAATCCGCCTTATTTCTTTTCTTCCTTGGCCACAGGAAGAACAGAGAACAGATGACCAGAAGGCTTCCCACCAATCCACCAGCAACTGAGATAATAACTTTCAATGTGGTACTCAAGTTCTTCTTTCTGGTATTATCCAAACTGCATCTTGGTAGATTCAATTCATGTATACCATTGCAAAGCTGCTTATTTCCAAGAACTGAAAATGCGGTAGCATTTTTGAACACTCCTTGAGTGGGAACTTCACCTTCCAAATTGTTGAAAGATAAATTCAAATACCTCAGAAATTCAAACTCCTGCAAATAAGATGGAATTATGCCAGTCAAATTGTTGCGAGACAGGTCGAGTTCTTCAATACCTCTTAAAGAACTCAAAGACTGAGGTATAGGGCCCTCAAGGAAATTCCCATCCAAATGTAAATCTTCTAAGCTTGTGCAAGCACTGAGAGTAGAGGGAATAGCTCCAGTTAACATGTTGGCAGACATATGCAAATAGCCGAGGTTAACCAACTTGCCCACTTCCAATGGAATGGAACCAGTCAAATGATTATCAGACAGATCCAAAGCAATTGATAAAGATGAAATACTCAACAATTCTTTTGGTATTGTACCAGTTAGATGGTTCTGAGACAGAGCCAGAGATAGCAATTTTTGGTTTCTTCCTAGACTTGATGGTATGGCTCCAGTTAAGTTGTTTAACCTCAAATTGCATCTACCAAGTTCAGACAAGTTTCCAAGAGAGTGGGGGATTGTCCCTGAGAGCTGGTTTCCATTTAAATAGAAATCATTTAGTTTTTTCAGCTTGCCCATTGAGCTTGGTATAGAACCAGTCAACTGGTTTGTTTCCAGTCCTAATGCCACCAATTGGACGAGATTGCCAATCTCAGTAGGAATGGTTCCATGAATATGATTCCTACCAAATCCTATAATCCTGAGCTTTGTAGAGAAGTTGCTTATGAACTCCGGTAGCACGCCACCGAAATTGTTGTCGCTGATGACTACAGAGCTCAAATTGGTGCAGTTAACAAGAGGAAACAGGAAATTCAAGTCATCAACATTCCCATGTCCAAGGTTGTTTTCACCTATTCCAAAAGCCTCTAGATGTGTCGTGCTTGACAAACTAGGCACCTTTCCAGAAAACACGTTTTTTGAGATGACAAATTCCACTAGTTTTGAAGCATTGGATAGTGTAACAGGAATTGCTCCACTGAACTGATTAGTGTGGATTTTAAGAACCTGAAGGTTTGGGAACATGAAGCCTAAATCTATGGGAAGCCTACCCTCAAGCTGGTTCACAGGGAGTGAAAAGATTCTCATAGATGAAATATTGTAGATTGAGGAAGGGATAGTACCTGTCAGCTTGTTTGCCCCAATAACAAGATCTCTCAAATTCTTCAGCTGCCCAAAACTCCTTGGAATACTGCCGTGGAAGTGATTCAGAGTAGCCCAGAAGCCCCTGAGAGATGACAGATTTCCAAGTGATTCAGGCATTTCACCAAACAGTTCATTGGCAGACAATCGAAATACTTCAAGCTTGGTTAACAACCCAAGCTCCTTTGGCAGCATGCCTGTTAGATTATTGCTGAGCAATCCAATGTATTGAAGCTCTGAACAGTTTGATAAGGCGATGGGAATCTCCCCTACAAAGTAATTGTTTTCAAAGTCCAATACTTGCAGGCGGCTCAAACTGCCTATCTCTTGTGGAATTCTTCCTCCAAAGCTATTGTTATTAAGATTTAAGGTCGTAAGGAAGCTCAAATTCCCTATAGAAGGCGATACCTGACCGACGAATCGATACGAGGGAAGATTCAACTCAGTGACCCTCTGCTGCGGGCTGCATTTGACGCCTACCCAGTTGCAGAAATGGACAGACTCATTCCAGGAGATGAACAGGCCAAGTGGGTCGAGAGATATCTCAAATTTGAAAGATAGCAATGCAAGCATGTCTGTGTCGTTTCCTCCAAGAGCTGCTGAGGGTAAAGGAAGGCTGAGTAGAAGAACAGACATTAAAAACAGCCCAAATTGGGGATTGCTTCCACACTCCATAATAAGGATTAAGGTTCTGTGAGTGATGTTCAAGAGAGTGATTGCAATTTAGCAGAGGTAGCAACAATCTGATGGTTTGAAAATTCTGGGATTGGCCTTTTCTTGCCTTGGAAGTCAAGTTCTGTTTCCCCCATTTATCAAGAACAGAAAACAAGAACCAATGGCTTTGAGGATCGATCACGTTGATTTCAAGCCCAAAAATTTGAATTTGTGACGAGAGAAAGGGATTAGGTTGCAGACTAAATAAGATAATTGAAGGTTTAGACAAAAGATATCATGACAGGTTGGAGGATATCATGACAGGTTGGAGGATTGAAATAATTAATAGCAGCAAACAATGAGTCACCATATGGACATAATACGAATATACTTCCACGACTGAAATATCGATTATCCTTTTAAAGGTATGATTGTAAATCGAGCATAACTTAGTTGCAACTGATATATTGAAATCGATGATTCGATCTTCATACTTTTATTTATTACATTAAAAAAAAATCTTGCAACCGACTTGATAAGAAATTGATTTAAAATAACTTTTTTCTTTTTAAAATAAGTTTTAAAAATGTTGGGAGCATGATTTTATAGTTTTTTTAATTTCATTTCCTTGGAAGAAACTAGGAAAGATTGTAATCTACACAATTATTATTCATTATGATATAGTAGCATATCATGTCACGTTCAATTGATATATATACGTAGGTTGACTTTTATGATAAATATGGATGGCTATATTTTTTTAAAAAAATTATATTTAAAAATGATATTAAGAAATTACAGTTGAAAAACTATACATTATTATTAAGATATGAGGCATGAAACTTCTTCTTTGCTCTTAACATTCTTAGGAGTGATTTTCAGTGTGAGATCTTACATCGGTTGGAGAGGGGATGGAGCATTTCTTATAAAGGTGTGGAAATCTCTTCCTAGTAGAAGAGCTCTAAAACCGTGAGGTTGATGACAATACGTAACGGGTTAAAGAGGACAATATCTACTAGAGGTGGAGTTTAGCTACTACAAATAGTATCAGAGTTAGACATCTAAGGTGTTCCAGCAAGGACACTAGGCTCTAAGGGATAGATTATGAGATCTCACGTTCCCTTATAAGAGTATTTCGTATTGTCACGACATTTGTTTTTTTTTTTTTTTTAATAATTTATTATTATATTCTCTATCATTCAATTAAATCTTTTAAAATGTTCAAATCTTATCATCAAACATACGTGACAACAAGATTATGAAAACTAGTAGATGCAAAAAAAAAAAAAAAAAAAAAAAAAA